ATTTAGCGTGGAATGCCTGGAGTGACTTGTCTGAACACTAGCGATTTTCAACCCAACAGAAAAGGAAGCTACGGAAAGCACGAGAAAAACCAATACCAAATACATTTGGCACGTTAATTACTCAAATTCTTTTTCAAATGTGTGCGCTGTTTGGAATGGTGGGGGGAGGAGGAGGGGTGGTGAAGAAGCTTTGCCATTCACGTGTTACTTTTGCTTGTTCCTAGACATGTTTCACCTTGTTGAGACCTGTTTGTGGACCCTTGCCAAGTATAAACAAAGCGGAACAATTGGTAAACTGACGAAGTATGACCTCGATGCACAACAATTTTGCCCAATGCTCGTGACATCGCCGCGGACATATCAAAGCTATGGCGAAGCCCGCTGCTGCACTAATTTCTGCACATTCACTTTCTGAAAAAGCATAAAACTTTTCCACTGAACCCAGTTCCCCGTCCTACTTATTCATTATTGCTGTGAGACAAAAACCGATCTACAACCGCTGATGTGGAACCAGAAACACTTGTAATTCTTCGATGTATTTAGTTCGGATCCGACCACACACTGTGAAACAGCAAATAATAACAAAAATTTATAACAAAAGCAACGATCAACAATCGTGTTTAGGCAGCAGATTCCATCTTAACATGTCGTTTGTTGTGCTTCTTGGCAAAGCGTAAGTTCTTGAGGAATTTAGGATCGACACCCTTCATCGACATGAATCTTTGCTTCTTTGGCCTCTTGATACCGTTACGGTGAGCCTTTCTGTCTGAAAAAAAATCATTATCAGATCGCAGTGCGAGGAAAGACCGTTCAACGTCTTTTTCTAAAAGACAAGACGAAAGCAAAAAAAATTCCAAGCGCAACTGCTGAAGTAGTGCCTCATGAGCAACACCAACATATTAATATTTGAGATAAACCTAAACGTTTAAAGCACCTAAAAAGATTCCGCGGGAACATCATCCCACCTCCCACGCAATCGCGTGTTGAATACCGATATACTGCTCTCATCCAAGAGTGAGCGTCCAAGTTTATGAGCTGATTTTGCTGCTAGCTAAATACAAGGTAAAACGCAATTTCCTGATGCGGATAACATTGGAGGTGCTACAAAATAAGAGCAGAAGATGATGACAAGGGGCAGAACTCAAGAGCAACTCGGCTGCATCTGCAGTATCCATCAAGGGCCGCGCATTCCACAAAACATGAAAATAAAAACAGCCCAAGCGTCCCACTCGTTTGTTCTAAGTATTTCTATGGCTTTGGCGCCGGATCGTAGAAATTTACAGGCCAGTTTATCTAATTTGCCTTTCCTTGATTTTTTCATTTTTGTTTTGTTTACATTTACATCGTTGTGCTTCATTTCTAGCCTGTGTCATCTTCATCTCCTTGTACATGGATTTTGAAGCATGAGCAACACCTTAAATTTTATTCGCATCAGGAAATTGCGTCTTGCTTGTATTAAACTAACGAGTATGCCGTTTTTAGTTTTTATTTTCATGTTTCGTGGAAATACGTGGCCTCCGAGGGATGTTGCAGAAGTGGCACAGTCGCTTTTAGGTTCTGACCCTCGTCATCATCTGCTCTTATTTTGTAGCACCTCCAATGTTATCCGCATCAGGAAATTGCGTTTTACTTGTATTTGAGAGCGCAATTAAAGGACTTGGCAAAGTGCCAAGGAGCCGCACGCGACAGGCGCGCTTGCAACGGATGTTATGAACGGCGGGAATCTGCGCCGTAAAAAGGCAGTGGGCGGAGCAT